CCATAAGTGTCAGTATCTGTGACTGTGCGTTATACCTTCACAAACATTGGAGGCCTCACTGCCATGGACGGGTTTCAGTGCTCACGTGCTCAGTGATTAGAAGGCTGTTGTCCCGGGACATTCCTGATTCTGCCCTTTGGACCTGATGAACATCAAAAGCAGACAAACCAGTGTAAAGAAAGGCATGGCTGGTGAATGGACAACTAAGAGCAAACACAGATGAGAGAAGGGGAGCTTGACGTGTGCAAGAAAAACAAAAGTTTTCCTGCAAATTTGAGGTTTTTGTTAGTTTCTCACTGCTTTCCCAGCCTGCCTTCAAGGTGGCCCTTCGGGAAACGTTGGTTTCATTGCCCTGGCCTGGCTGGGTGGCTCGTTTGGTTGGAGTCTCGTCCTGTCCACCAAAAGGTTTTTGGGTTCAATTCCTGGTCAGGGCACGTACGGGAGATAACAGATCATTGTTTCTCTCTCTCTCTCTCCCTCCCTCTCTCCCTTCCTCTCTCTAAAAATCAATAAAAACATATCTTCTGGTAAGGATTAAAAAAAAAGTGGGCTTCATTCACATCGTTTCCTCTAACGGGACTAATCATTTCTCTCTGGCCATTATTAGGAACCTGGGGGTTTTTGTTTGGTTCCTTCCAAAAGCATCCAATGGCCCAGACACGCGGCCTTGAGGAAACTGGGTCCTGGACCAGGGCTCTTCTCCTCTGAGCATAACACTGTCTCAATTATTTTAATTGCACCTGAGAAAGATTGCTGATTCTCTCCACACTTACCTCTCTTTAAAAAATGCATTTGACAAGACTCATGTCAATTCCAAAATGAATGAGACAGGTAAGTATAAACTTGGAAAATCCTGAAATTACAAATTTCTTCATATGGAAGACAGGTTTGTGGTTTAGAAGAACTTACGTGGTTTTCAGCACTTCATAATTCCTAGCTCAAGTGACAGCCCTCCTCCCACCAGTACCCACCCTCACTATTCGACCTTCCTCACTAAGATCAGTCCTGCCTTTCTTAGGACTCCACAGAAATGAAATCATATAATATATATTCTATTGAGTCTGATGTCCTTCACTTAACATCATGTCCATGAGATTCAACCATGGCCTTGTGTGTGTCAACAGTTCATTTGTTTTTATTGCTGTGGAATTTCCATTTATGAATATACCACATTTTTTGCCTATTCTGCTGTTGATGGACCTTTGGACCACTTTCAGGTTTTGCCTGTTAAAAGCTGCTGAGAACAATCATGTACGGGTCTTTGGTGGACATGTGCATTTTACTTCTGGCTGCGCACCTAGGAGTGAGACCACTAGATCGTAAGGCATACACGTACCTAGCTCTAGTGGGAATACAAAACCTTTTCTAAAGTGACTGCACAAATTCACACACACTAGCAATATAAGAGGCACTTTGATGATGTGCAGTGGCTTTTTGTTGGTGCTGGGTTTTTTGTTTTTAGGTTTTCTCAATTCTCAATTGAGATTGTGCCTAAATGCTCAGCAGTTGGATTAGTTCATCAGTTTTAGTATATATATATATATACTAAAAGAGAGAAAGAGAGAGGGAGGGAAGGAGAAAGAGAGTGAGCTGCTATTATACGTGTGGCACTTGGAGAACAAAGCAGATGAGAGTGGCTTATAATATTGTAGGTGGGTAAGAAAATCGATTATAAAAAACTAATGTATCATCTCCACCCAAATAAAGATGTAAAATTATGTAGAAGAATTTTGCAGTTGGGAGCACATAGAAAGGCTTTGCTGCCCAGACTTTCCAGGCATGACTTTCCAGAGGAAGTGCTGTCTGTTGAAAACTAAATGAATAGGAGTTAGCCAGGTAATCAGGATGGGGAGGAGTTAAGTAATAAAATATATTACTTAAATTTATGTTACCAGCAAGAAGAGCAGTAGACTTTTTGTTTTCCAAATCATAATATTTACACTTATTTTCTTTTATTTTATAACTGTCTATTTAGCATCATATAACATGATTACTTATTTTGTTTTCACCTGCATACAAAGAAAATGGTTTTAAAATGCCAACTGATATAAATATTGTTTGTTTGTTTTTAATTTATCTTTATTGTTGAAAGTATTTCAGGTGTCCCATTTTTCCCCCATTGGCCCCCTCCACCTGGCTCCCACCCCCTCCCCAGGCCTTCACCCCATTATTGTCTTTGTCCATGGGTTGTGCATATATGCATATAACCTCTTTGCTTAATCCCTTCCCACCCTCCACCCCCCTTCCCTCTTCCCTGAGGTAGTGCCCCGTTCTTTCCCCCTTTGCTGAGCCAGTGTGCCTACCCCTCAACTGCTGTAACCATTGACTACTGATGGCTCATAGCTGCCCCCTTCTTCAGAGAATTGTCATCAGCCAATGGGACCCTTTCTGATCAGTCAGAAGCCTAAGTGATCCTTCATTTATCTCTTCCTCTCATCTCCACATGCTATTCTGCCTCCAAAATGTATTTCACCTCTCTGTTCTTCCCCCTCTACTGCTATCACCTTTCTCCTAGTCACCATACCTGCTACGGTAACCACCTAGCTGGCTTCCACTTTTAACCCATTTTCTCTACATGCTTTGATGAGGTCATTGCTTACAAAAGAAGCAATCTGTATTTATTTTTTCCTTTATAAAAATATTGTAGTTTTCTGCGTTGCATTTCCTCTGATGTGCCTCATATACGAAACTGAATTAATCATGTGTCAAGGCTTTTTTAAGTATTTGAAGGGGATAGAAATCAGACACAAGCTTATGATACAATTCTATACCAAATTTAAGTAAGAAGTTTGAACTTTAAGTATTATTTGAAGCTATTGCAGGGAGGTAAAAATCCCAGCACCCATCTTCCTTGGTTCTTTTGGCTTGTCTAATCAAATTGACACAAGGAGATTAACAGGAGGGGGGAAAACAATTTATTCATACATATGGAAGCCTCACAGAAATGGGACCTAAAGAAATGGCAAGAGAAGGCAGCTTTTATACTTTTTAGACAAGAAACGATGAATTTGTGAGGGATTGACAGGGCAAAGAAACTCCGGCCTGAGTGTTTAACTAGTGAAGCACCTAAGCAGAGTTTGAGCTTAGGGTAGTAAGTTAGTAAAGTAGCAGCAAGGTTTGTTTACATAGGCTCTGGGCCCGTGATTCCCTATCTCTGGTGACAAGAAAGTCTCTGTACCTCCTGGCGCAGGTAGAGTACCTTTCACCTGGGAGATTTATTTCCTGCTTTCAGGGAACAGAGAGAAGGGTCCAAGTGTTCTTCTTGCACTGTTTCTCAATTAACTTTAATTCAGAATAATCAGTATGCTGCTTTGGCATATTTGGGGATGGCCTGCCCTTAACCCCAGTGTATTTCTGTTCTCATTCAAAGTTTCATACAATCTTTGCAAAGAATAGTGCAGTTTATTAATATGTTATAGTGCAACAAATTAAGTGAGAGCTACAACTGAGAGATTTTATGAGTAACAAATATGTATCATTAGTTCATAAATTCACTTTTGGTTTATTTGTATCATATAAATTTTAGTCAAAGTCATATTGAAAGGAGCTTACAGTTCTGCAATAGAAATTGCCATCAGTTTGAGATGAGCTAGTTCATCCTGAACCTAATGAATTCTATTAAAATGGGAAATAATAGTAGTCATAGAGACTAACTGTAAGAGATTAAACTTGATGGCCAAGAAAGGGAGCAGTCGGTGTAGAGGTTGCCTGCAGGTAAACTGTCTTTTGCTAAACTTAACTCACTAAATAAAGCAATTATTTTTCTATAATATTTTCCCTTTAGAGGGTTCCTGCAAATGACTCATATAGCAAGCCAACAACCAAAAAAAAATTATGTAAAGTGTTTTATTATCAATAAAGTGCTGCAACTGTGAAGGTAACTGAATGATATGTGTAGCAAACCAACAACCAAAAAGAAGAAATAAAATGTTTTATTATTGATGTAATCTGAGGCATACTTACAATGGCACTTTGAATTCCTGCGTTGAGGAAAATCTCAAACTGTAGAGTAAGTTTGCTTACTGATGTGAACTGGAAATGCGTCTAACCTCGTGATTCATGTACATAGCAGGGGAGAGTAACGGGAGGGTTTCCAGCGTCCTGCTCCGAGAGCTCTCATGCTGGTTGTTTTCAGTTCCGGCCACATCTAAGATCAGGGGCTTTGCATGTCACACCAGCTTCCCCTATGTTTTCAGAATTCCAAACTCAATTTCTGGAACTTGGAAGCATCCCAGGCACTGAGGGGGGACGGTCCTCATCCTACTGAGATGGGCATGAGCGTCATTTGCTTTGCACAGTCATTGGGCAGCCCCTGGGCCTCTGAGCAAAGGCCACGTGTGGTGCCCACTCCAGCACGTCCCCCTGGCACTCGTGCCAGCAGTGCTCTGGTCCGCAGCCCCCTTGCCCTGTCTCCATCATCACACCTCCTCCTGCTGCTCTGCACGGGCAGGAAGCTGTACTCTTTAGTTTATTTGGGAGTCTAGGGCCTGGTCCCACATCTATTCTTTTCAATCTATTTTTACGACAAAAGCATTTTGATCTTATTCCTTCGTGGCTGACATTCCACAGACACTAAAGGGCATCTCTTGAGGATTAAACGCCTGGGCTATTTTCCCTGCCACGAGCTCCGAAAGGTTATTTGATATGTATGTGCTGAGCATTGCCTTCACTGTTCTTTTGCTCTGCCCAGGGTGGAATTTTCTGGAAACAAGCGAGGAGGAAAGACCTAGCGCCCTTCAGAGCATGAGGAGTTGTAAGGGTTTTGGGGAGAACACAGTAGGCAGTGGGGCAGCACCAGGTCATACCTAAAGGCGTGTGTCCCTGCACAGTTTCGGCAGATGATACATACAGCCATACCTGGTTTTGTCTTTGTCACTTTCCACTTGGAATTGAAATCATTTCAACAATTTCATCCATCCTAAAGCCTCCCTAAGGTGAAAATCAAAGATACGATTTGATACGATTGTCGGCTTTCGTTCCCTTGTCTCCTGCCCGCCTAGGATACAGATCTGATGACGTTCAACATCTCTGTGCACCGGTCATGGTGGCGGGAGCACGGGCCCGGCTGTGTCCGAAGGGTGCTGCCCCCGTCAGCCCACGGCATGCTGGACGACTACACCTACGTCTCCGTCACGGGCTGCGTCGTCGACTTCCAGTACCTGGAGGTCATCCACAGCGCCATCCAAATACTGCTCTCCGTAAGTTTCACGTTCGTGTCACTGTCTCAGCAGGACTCCCCTTATTGGCATTTTATATCTCCACCTTCTGTCCCCACCCACCTGGTAGATGATGCCATCAGCAAGCACACAGAACGTCCTTTAGGCGATGGAAATAGCAGCGAGTACGCTAACATTCGTTATACTTAATGGCAGGTGACATCTCTTCCAATGGATATCCAGACATTGTGTCCTTAGGACCGTCCACCCATTCAATGAAATGGTGTCACTGTCTCCCAGGAGTGGTGGGTTGGCCACCCATGGTCTCAGGCTCTTCTACGTCTCATGCACTTTTTTACTCATGCACAATAGTTCCAGAGAAAGAGACGGACATTCACCCAATGGTTTGTTCAATCTAATACATTTCATATTTCAAAAAATTATCCCTTAAGAAAACCAGTCCCTCCAGAGAGTCTTACACATTCTGGTGCCTAAAATTTGGGGTCAGGATATAGTTCCATACAGAGCAACACATAGAGGAAATGGATTGATTGAACCACAGAAGGTTTATGTGCTTGAAATTTCTTAAGGTTAATTTCTTCCCACCACACTATCCTACCCACAGTTTGATGGGAGTGTGGAGTGGAATTAAGTTCTATACCATCATCAAGAATGCTACTTCTTTGAGATCCAGCAAGTACTTGGCATTTTTGTATGAATCAATACACAATAAGGCCATTCTTAGCTGTGCTCTTCACATAAACTAACCACCTCAGTCCTGTCCAGCTGGTTAAAGTCAGAATGAGAGATATAGCCTCAATAATAAATTAATAGATGACAGAAACATAGGAGGTGTATGTCAGTGAAGAATGTACCTTAGAATTATTTCTAGAAAGGACTTTGAGAAATCTTTGATATCATTACTGTAGTTGTTCTCTACCGCTGTGTAACAAAACACTCCAAAATGCAATTACTTAAAATAATACCAGTTTATTGCTTAGAGTTCTGTGCGTCAGGAATTTGGGCAAGTCTCAGCTGGGTAGTTCTGTTCCACATGATATTTGCGAGGGTTACTCATGTGAACCATCCTACTAGGCGCTTTGCTGAGGCTAGAACATCCAAGAAAACCTCACTCAGATGTATGGTGCTGGCTGTTGGAAAAACTTGACAGGCTTTCTCACAGCAAGGCACCTGAGTTCTGAGGAAAGTCTAGCATGCAGGCATTTTCCAAGCCTCTACAGGCATATTCTATTGCACTCGACTTTATTGCACTTTGCAGATGTTGCATTTTCTAATTGAAAGTTTGTGGCAATCCTGCATTGAGCCAGTCTATTGGCAACATTTTTCCAACAGGCTCAGATGATGGTTAGTATTTTTTTAACAGTAAAATGTGTTTAATTAAGTAATGTAAATTGCCTTTTTAGACAGAATTCTATTGCGTACCTAATAAATGACAGTATAGTGTAAACATAAATTTTATAAGTATTGGGAAAGCAAAAAATTTGTGACTGCTTTACTGCCATATTTGCTTTATAGCAGTGGTCTGGACTTAACCCCCAATATCTCTGAGCTATACCTGTACTTGAGTAATGCTTACTACTGTCCATTTGTCTTTATGCTCTCATATGACTGATATGACCAAGCCCAGAGTCATTTTGGAAGGGAGCTATGGAAAGGTGAGAATATTAGAAAACAGGGCTCATTTGGGGCCATTGATGCAGCAGTCTCATCTCACTTACCTACTCTATTAATTATTGTTCTTTAACTTGTATGTGCCAAGTTTTAAGATAGTGTTTTAGAGCACCTTTTAATTAGAATATTTTTGGAAAGACTAAAGATTCAATTTTTAAAAATAATCAGAGATCTTTTAGTGTTTTTGTTCAATGAGAGTCAAATTTGACACTGAATTCAAAGGAGGTTGTACCTCAATGCTAAGAAACTTTCATTCAGAGATATAACAGGGTATCTGTTTATTCTTGGTTTCTATAATAATTTTTTAAAAATATAATATACTGTCATTGGTCAATATATGTTTATCAGTCTTTCCCTATTCTCTGGTCTTTCTTTATTGTCACATGCAGAGAGAGAGAGAGAGATGATAGATTAGATAGATAGATGATGATAGATAGATAGATAGATAGATAGATAGATAGATAGATAGATAGATAGATAGATGATAGATAGATGATAGATAGATGATAAATATATACAAGTTGGGCAAAAGTAGGTTTACAGTTGTTTTTATGGAAAAAGACATGCAGGTTATGATTATTGTAATAGCTTTATTAACTCAAAAGAATGTAACTCATAACTGTAGACCTACATATGACCACCGTGGGGTGTGTGTGTGTGTGTGTGTGTGTGTGTGTGTGTGTGTGT